CCCCCCCCCCCAAAAGCCGGGGCAATGTTACTGACTGAAGTTGTCTTTAGACCATTGGGGGGATATTAACATGTTCTTGTGCACAGTAGAATTGTAAAAGGGATGATTTATCAAAGTCATACTCATACTCTGCCTGAACAACATAAGGGGAACTGCTACTTTTTTCTTTCCTTATCCTTACTAACGTCATTTTCCTCTACTTCTTTTGTATGTGTGTCACTCTCATGTAAACTGCTACTTCCGGGGTGCCTTGATAGTGGAGGCAGACTTTGTGCTGTTGAGGCTAGAGGGGTGAGCAGAGTAAACCTGATTCCCCAAGTGCCGTTTAAACTTCTCTGTTGACACCCAGCCCTTGGCGCTCATATGACCTTATGCAGTTGCAAGCACCTTTAAACCTTACTAAAACAAATAAGGCTTGGCAACAATTACTGTTTATCTGTTCTATTTTTTTTTAGCAAAGACTAATGAGCAGTGACCCTGATATTTGGTCCTGTCCATGATAATGATGTTGATGATGATGATGATGATGATTATGATGATGATGATAAAAATTGATGCATTATTGCACTACGCAGTTTAACAAACAACCGAGAGGTTCCTGTCATTCCAAGCATACTGTTTACAGCGGACCAATAAAATGCCACACATTTCACTGCGAACAAAACTCTCACTTATGTCTTTCTTTAAAAAATCATTCGAAATCAAGCTTTCTGAAATGAAACCGCAAAAAAGATATTTATACTGGCGTTCATTTCCTTTCGTAAGAGTACGAGAAGGAGAAGTGAAAATAGTCGTAACTGCCGCACACTGCGATAGCCTCTATGGACCCTCAGCAAAATGGAAGGTAAAAATGATGAACTAACCATGAAATCACATTTGAAGTTCATGCATTGCTCTTGACATCAACGATACACTGATAAACTTCAGTGTCGTGGGGGATGGGGGTCCTAAGACATACAGTTTATTGTTACAAATACGGTCGGATTGAAACCAGAACCGAAGTTACATTCTTTTAACTCGTGATTACAACTGGCAATTTCACAAGTAAGATAAATCGTGGTCTACTAACATAACGCGAGTGTTATGAATTTTCATCTTCAAAATAAGTTTCAGGGAAATCAAGCACTGAATGTCACCAAGGAACAGAATTCGAACCTTTCATCTTCGATAAAACACACCTAGTAGCCTCCCCTGGATATCGAGTAACAAGAAAGTGGCTACAAATTAAATGTACTTGAAAGGGTACAACTCAATTTCTACCCTTTAACTTCATAATCCATGAGATTACTGCATCCTCACAAACCCATTTTAAATCAAGAAAAACAAACATTAGAGCTTCTTGTCAACCCTGAAAGCATAAATATCAGAATAGTTAAGTTATCCAGCGAATCTCGGGGTAGCAATGGGCTAAGACGTGGTCGGGTTATGTTTTACATTCAGGTCTTGAATATTGTTTATAACACCGTACGGGTGTAGATGATATACTAGAAACTCCAAAAGATACATCTGCTTGGGCTTCACGTAGTGGAAGCTTATGGCGTAGTCACTGACATTTTCCACACCCTGGGAGAAAAAAAACACAGACAAAGAATCTCATTACAATACAGGCACTTTGACAATAGCGTGAGAACAGTGAAATTTCAATGCAACTTCTTTTTGTTTGTTTTTTGTTTAGACAGCAAACTAACTTCATAGACAAAATACATGCACAATATGCCTACATGCGTATACCCCCTTTTCTTTCATTAGAATTTTGATACAATAACACAAGTATGTAACTTTTAATCAACAGAGTCAAAATAATGTGTACCTAGATAGGATACTCCATCCATCCATCCATCCATCCATCCATATATATATATATATTAATACATGTATATACAAAGGCACAAGAAAAATAATTCGGACTGCATTCGGATTGTACACCTCAGACGCAGATGTTACATCAAGTTTGTGATGTGCAACAGTCCCCTTCCCCTTCCCCACCCTCCGCTGCAGAACAGATATCTATGCCTTAAGATCTAAGTGATGTCAGTTCTTCTGTACGGAAGTGGGCGAAGAACTGTTAACCAAATCTGAAGAAAACCAGTCCCGGGCTGAACAATAAAAATAAAATTGTGAGACTGGTGGACGGGCTAAAATTTGTTGGAAAATGTGCTAGACACCATCAGCCATATTATTTAGATCATTCGAAAAGCGGACTTCTAAGACTCTGCCTGCCAAGGCTCACTCCAACTCCAACTCAGACTGGGTGAGATACGAGCGTAATAATTGGCAGACAGGCCGACTGAATGTCTTCCGCGTGCTGGAATCTAATTTACGTCTTTCACGTGCATGGCAGGAATAAATGATGGGTTGAGATGATAACGAATGGAAAGGTAATGATAAGAACAGTGTTGGAGCTTGTCGCTTCAGTGCAGAACAGATCATGAAATGTTCAGGGCACACACGAATACAGGATAGATGATCTGAATCCTTGTAAGGAGGGAATCAAATACAGGCTTGGCAA